TAGTTATATTTATATCGTGTGAAATTTACAATATTGATTTAAATACCGCGAACCCCTATTGATTATTATTATTTTGTTCATCATGGTGGCGCAAATCGTCAGAAATTATATTTGTATTATATTTTGTTGGGTGGACGCAAATCGGTAATCACCATTTATTTATTTTATACTGTACTACTGTAGTATTTTGAGTGAGCGCCAATTGTTTTTTTTGTTATACCTACTGGCACGAGTCGGCGTTTATACGTAATATATTCAGTGTTCGGACTTATTTAGATGAATATCTAGATAATTATTTGTTCATTTTTTATCTTATCTAGATAAATAGTTACAAGGTATCTAAACGTTCATCTTGGATAGGTAGTTATTTTCCTAATCTAAATAAATTTATCTACATACATTTTTTATTGATAAAAATTTGTGAAGTTGTACAAATGTATTTTTAAATATTTATACAGATACTCAAACAAAGTTTATGGTTTATAAATAATGTAATTATTTTTATTTAAACCATTACTATTATTATGTTCTTAGTGCTCGATTTGTTACCGATTTGCGTAACCGGTAATCATTATTTATTTATTTTATACTGTACTTCTGTAGTATTTTGAGTGAGCGCCAATTGTTTTTTTTGTTATACTGGCACGAGTCGCCGTTTATACGTAATATATTCAGTGTTCGGACTTATCTAGATGAATATCTAGACAATTACTTGTTCTGTTCTGTAGTATTTTAAATAATCGCAAATCACCACGTCATATTAATTATCGAATTATATTTAGATCTGACATTCCCAGGTGCCTACATATTTAGTACACGATTGAAAATCATCAATTCCGATACAAAATCACATAATAAACTGAAATGAAAATATCAAAAGTTTTAGGTAATAATCAAATAACTTTTTGGGTTAACTCGAATCGGTAACCATCCATGTACCAAGAATGATACGCATTGCGTTTAACCTGTTGTTATTATAGCACATATATAGAGGAGCGGCTTTCCAGTCGTGCACTAAGAAGATGGTATCAATAAATAGATAATTTTTTTCTGAATCCAGGGATACAAAAACCTCAAAATCATAAATTTGCACGTATAGAAGTTTGTACCCTTGAACGAAAATTTATTGATCTCGCGGTGTTTTATCCCGCGCCGCCGCACCGCTTCGGCTGCGTAGGTGCATATTAATATATTATTGATATTTAATACGTCCGCCCTTGACTTCAGTCTGTTTTGCAGCGTCAACGCAGAAAATTAATATTCTTCGCAAGCATAACACCCGTTTATAATAAGGTAAGTTAGTGGCGCGAAAAATCACTTATCGTATTTTCTTTTATGTTTTGTGCATATCGCCACTGCGCAATAGTTATACTTATATCGTGAGAAATTTACAATATTGATTTCAATACCGCGAACCCATATTGATTATTATTATTTTGTCCATCGTGGTGGCGCAAATCGCCAGAAATTATATTTGTATTATATTTTGTTGGGTGGACGCAAATCGGTAATCTCCATTTATTTATTTTATATTGTACTTCTGTAGTATTTTGAGTGAGTGCCAATTGTTTTGTTTGTTATACTGGCACGAGTCGCCGTTTATACGTAATATATTCAGTGTTCGGACTTATCTAGAAGAATATCTAGATAATTATTTGTTCTGTTCTGTAGTATTTTAAACTATCGCAAATCGCCAAGTCCTATTATTTTTTTTTTATACTGACACGATTCGCTGTTTATACTTAATAAAATATTATTGTCACAGAATTGTATATACTAACTAGATGAGGTACTCGCGGCATCGGTTGAAGCTCCAGGTCAGTTTGCATTTTTTGGTATTGTATATGGAAAATATTAATTATGTTGTATTGCATTTTATTATTTCTAAACCTGTTGCTTAAAAAAAAAAAAAAAATATTTTACATAAATAAATTTGTTTAATGAATGTAATATTTTGCCAACTAAAAAAATGGCGAACGTTCAATCAGCTGGCCTCTTAGTTTGAAATGATTGTCATGCGGAATTCCTCATCTAGTATCATATAGAAATCTGTGATTATTTTTAGTGTGTGCTAATCGCTGCGAGATTTAATTATTATTTTATTATTATTATTGTAATACAGACGAGCTGGCAGCAGCTGTCCAGTCGTGCACATATGAGATTTTATCAATAAATATCTAATTTTTTTCTGAATCCAGAGATAACAAAACCTCAAAATCATAAATTTGGCACATATAGGAGGTTTGTACTTTGTTCCCTCAATTTATTGATTGCGTGTTATCGCTCGCGGTCTCGTGGCGTCGACTGCGTACCTAATATTATTAATTTATTATGCCACCGTTTCGTAGCGCCAACGCGGATTAATATTATTGTTCTCAAGCATAATCGCCGTTTATACTTATAGTATTGTTGGTGTGTGCTAATCTCCACTGATTGTTGTTTCTTTTTATTGTTTTTGTGCTCTAATCGCCGCGAGCTCTTTTATTTTTTTTTTATTATTAGTATATAGTATAGGCCAGCCGTGCACCGACCAAATCGTGGGGTTTTGTATTATTTAATATTTATACATTTTTTGTTGTTGTGCCATAAGGGCCGTACATATTTATTATTATATTATTTCTACCTGTTCTGCCACTAGGTGACGAAATTCATAAATATTAATTCTATTGCTGTGGTTCACCTTGTTTTATACTTAAAAATTAATATTAAATTGTGAATTACCTATATGAACTTTGGCAAAAAATGTATGTGTGTGACTTGTTTATTTATAAAATGTGAACTTCTCCTGATTAAATAGCACCACAGCAAGTTAAGTCCTGGTTATTGTCGTTTGTTTACTTTTTAATCACTAATTACGGAAGTATTTACTGTTAATCTCTTCTTAAAATAATATTCTTATATTTTATTTTATTGAAGTATAACATTTATAATAGCAGAATATAATGATGTCCCCTGGTTGAACTCTGGCTTTTAGGTCTGTGGAAAAAATCCGGAATAATTTAATAAATACATTAATAACTATGGGAATATCATATTTCAGTTATTTTAAACTTGTATTTAATACAGTATTTTTTCCAGACCCAAGAAAAATGATAAAATCTCGAAAATTTGACTGCAGATCGTTTTTCTATGCCAGTGTACAAATAAAAAACCTCTTAGACGTTTTTTGATATTTCAAAATATTCCCAAGACCCAAAAGCCAAGCCCGTCCGTGAAAAGCGGTCGGCTAAATTATTATAATAATGTGTGTACGAGTATCTTTCCGAGAGGTTTCAATAAACCCGAGCACTTTCATGTCAGTCACATTTTTAAAGTTATTATTTTGTACTTGGATTCATTTGGTCAGCGATATTTTGGACTTCGAAAATGAACGAGTGAAATCGTATACAATAATATTATAATTAGTGTAGGTATACTTCACCTTTCGTCTTTCGTTAAATTAAAATAAATAGAATATTTTGGACTTGTTATAATTTAAAATTATTATTGTTGTGGTAACACTGCGGAGTATTGCTGTAGTGATAGTATTGTGGCAGTGGTATCAATTTTTTTCTCCACAATAACACATGTCCAGACCTAAAAGCCCGATTTCGACTGATGTCTTTAATTCGACATCATTTTACATTCATTTGATTTCCGATTTACGGGATTTTTACGACTTCGTTGACTTCGTAAGTATTCAGTAGTAAGTGTAAAAATCATGACTAAATAAATTATAAACTGTTATTTAGCCATGATAAACCTACTCGGCCAGAATAATATTATATTATTTTATATTCCGAATGGATTATGGACATTTGACTCATTTGGGGCTTTAGTTTGTTGTGCTGACGCCAGACCCATACAATAGTAATTCGTAGGCAATGACAGTGAACCCGTTATACAACAGCTCATACATTGATATTATAGATTTCGTCGTCTCAGAATGAGAAGATTCTAAATCAATTTTTTTTACAATTTTTTGCATATTATTATTTGATATTTTTTGTTGTATAATTCAATCCTGAAATCGTATCATTCCGTTGATGGTTCAATGAGATACAGAAAATGGAAAGGTTCTAATTCATACAGACTGATGGCTAACTTAAAGACGTTCCCCTGAACAATTACAAAAATTAAACAAAAGAACATTTTCATTCTGAGACGACGATTTATATATACAAAATTTGAATGTATTTTTTAAAATAATTATATCTCTTTGTATAGAAGCTGTATATTATTGGAAACATATGCCTATTATATTCAACCGAGAAATATTTTAGTCTTAAAAAAACTTTGTATAGTAATTATTCATAAGTTTCACCATTAAGATTATAAAAATAAATAACAAAAAAAATTCCCGATGCTGAACATGTAAAAATGACTTCACTACTGTCCAACATGCAATCTGGCAGTGTTCGGCATTTGGTGTTCTTTCTCTAATGTTCATGCCTATAACCTATTACATGGTGATATTGACATATAGTCGTATGTCAACAATAAATATAAGTATTACATAGCTATAGATGCTTAGTTTTTTCAGTAGCAGTATTATTTTGTCGTAGCACACTAGATATTTAGTAGTTGTCCTGAACTAAGATATATCTTAGGTCATGGTAGGTATATAATATATAATATCAATGATAATATAACGAACCACTGAAACGAAACAACTCTAGTTTATCTGTTTATACTCTAAAATATATTGGAGATACTTTCTAGTTTCTATTCAGTGATAACCAATCATGAAGCAATTTAGCGTTTCATATTCTCATCTCATGTAGACTCTATTTCAAGTTTCCACGAACTGTTAGTCCTGTAAATTATTTTATTTGTAAGTTGTATTTAGGTATGCATTTACTATTTGTGTACCTACAACCCCAGAGTTCGATTTGTGACATAATTTGTGCATCTCTATATGTGTAGACTGTAGAGGATATACTATAATCACATTACACATAGTATAATGTTTTATTTATTTATTAATTTGTTATTTGTATTTTCTTGACTAGAATAAAAAAATGGCCTCACCGAGCAAATATTGGGAGCCATATAATTTCAGTGCCGAAGTATTGAGGGAACAGAGGCGTCAAGACAAATCATTAAACAATCGTTGTAGTTATGATGATACCGTGGAATTTGTATGGATGTACTATGACATTGCTAAGAATCCTGGACAAGAGGTAATTGATATTATTCATAGCTAATTGAATGTTGCACATAGGTAGTTTGATTTAAATTGTAGTGATTTGTTTAGGTTTGCATGACATTTTTTAGAAAATATCTTAAACATTATAAATATCTCGAAATGAAATGGAATGAAACAACTCTAGTTTATCTGTTTATACTTTAAAAAATAATAGAAATACTTTCTAGTTTCTATTCAGTGATACTCTCATTTCTTGTAAATACTATTTCAAGTTTCCACAAACTGTTAGTCCTGTAAATGATTCTATTTGTAATTTGTATTTAGGTATGTATTTATTATTTGAGTAGGCAACTAACAACCCCAGAGTTAGATTTGTGCCATGATTTGTGTATCTCTATACGTGTAGAGGCTATACCATAATCACATTACAAATAATATAATGTTTAATTTGTTTATTGATTTGTGATTTGTATTTTCTTGACTAGAGAATAAAATTTGGTCCATCAAACCAAAATGATTTTGGGCCTGAAGAATTGGAGGCACTGAAGCGTCAACTCAAATGTATAAACAAGCGTTGTAGTGCAGGTGGTACCCTGTACACTGCGATGGACAAGGTTTGCACTTTCTATGAAGTTGATTACGAACCTGGGAAACAGGTAATTGATTTTGTTCATAGCAAATTGAATATTATACATAGGTAGTTTGATTTAAATTATGGTGATTTGTTTAGGTTTGCTTGCCATGTTTGAAAAAATATCTCAATCAATATAAATATCCCGAAACGGAAGAGAAGAAGAAAAACCCAGAAGGAAACCTCTAAGAAAAAATACGAAAACCTAATAACAATTTTATGTTAACAAAAATAATATCCATTGTATTAAATAATACATTTTTTTTTGTTATTAATGTTTAACCTTTGTAGAAATTATAGTAGAGAAGTCTAAAAATGTCAAATATGTTTTGAATAATTATTAATTATTAAAATTATTAATATTAATATTTAATAAACAATTTAATTAAAGACAGGTACACAGATCACTACTTTGACTAAAAACTGTATGACGATTCAGTAAATGTATATTAACATTCTGGTTATATCTAGTATTATAATATTCATGATCTACTACAGTAATTGAATATTAATGTGTATATAAATCTACTAGAATAGCAATTTTATAAATAATCTTAAACTTCTTTAAATTAAGTTTTTCATAAAATAAATTCCAGCAAGTTTGCCTAGGAAGGTTTAATGAATATTTAATAATACCATTTATAGTAACATTGAGGCTTGAGGTAAAATAATTAAAAGTTCCTTTCCAAATGGATATTATACCATAAAGCTAAATAAATAACTCTTTTACAATTTATAATTTATTTAATTATATCTAATCTATACTGGCTTGATTAAATTTATATAAAATTCTTTGTAAAATACCATTAATATAACTAATATGGCTATCCCATTTAACTGTATAATGTATTATTGTGCCAAGATACTTGGAGGAAGAACACCATAGCCTAACATATTTTCACATTTATCGATATAAATTGCTTCCTTGTTATAAATGATTTTTTTTTTACATTTTTCAAAACTTTTAGATATAGTTAATAATAGTGAGATTGGTCTATAATTTCTACATGTTAGTTCAATTTATATAGGGGCTTACTATAAATGTTTTAAACGCTTAATGAAAATGGCCAGTTAATATAGATTTATTAAAGATTAACAATGATGGTAAAAAAAAAAGGATTTAGATATTTGTTTAAGAATGTAATGAGAAAAATAATAGATGACAGACTTATAGTGTCAAAAGTATAACATAATTGATTTGTCATTTAAAAATACAATATTAATGCAATTAATTTAGTACAATTGTATAAATAATTAAATTAACAATAAGTAATATTATTTAAAAAAATATATATACAGTGCAATACCAATGCAGGTTATTCAGTAATACTATTTCAACTGTCATGTAACATTATACAACTAGTAATAAAAATACAGACTTAGTGAATTTGTTTATTAAATTAAGTTTATTCTAATCAGTTATAAAAAAAAAATAATACAAAGTATATTAAATAATGAGAAAAATAATAGGTGATGTACTTATAGTGTCAAAAACATAACATAAATTATTTGTCATTCAGAAATACAATATTAATGGAACTAGTTTAGTAAATTTGCCTAATTAATTAAATTAACAATAAGTAATATTATGAAATATATATTATATACAGTGAAATCACGCATAACCATACAAATAGTATTAAAAAATACAGACTTAGTGAATTTGTTCAATAAATTAGTTTAGTCCAATTAATTATTAAAAAAACAATACATAGTGTATTACACTGGGTTATACTTACCAAGACTAATTTACTTGTTGGAGTGTTTAGATTACAATTCATGTGCAAGTTTCTTGATAGATCATTCTCTCCTTTTGTTAATACATTTACGTTTACAAGGCGGACAATCAATCTATACAATTAGAATAGGTACTTATAACTAATATTAAATTACAAACAGTTAAATATAATTCCTTATTATTTATTCAAGGTATTAAATATAACCAAATCTGAATTTTTTTTTCATATCTATAGTTTATAACGATTCCCTTCTGTATAGAATATGTCCCTTTTTATATTTAATGGCATTGAGTGGTAGTTTTTTGGACCTAGTTAATCTATGAATTTTTGACCAAACGCTTTTCTAGAATACTCCATTCTGACATCAAATGCCCTATTTTCTCTTTTAATAACCCTTTTCATATCCAGAAAGAAATCAAAGTTTTTAATTATATATACAATAGTTATTTTATTATATACAGACTCAAATGGTAACACATCTAAATCTAATTATTTAAGGTTTTCTTTAGTTGAACGAAGTAAAGTAGTTTTACTTAAATATATCCTTACAATTTTTCTTTGTAAAAGTTGTAGTGGTCTAGATACATTAAAATTATAATTTTGACTATTATTTGATGTAAAAGTATATTTCAAAAAATTATAAAGAAATTAGGTACCTAGTCAATTGATTGTTTTTATTTTCATAAACAATTGCTATTACAAATTACCTATTTCAAGTAAATATTACTTAGTATAAGTATTATTTACAACAAATGTACAATAAAAATAGTGCATTAATATAAAAAATGATTTATTTGGTATATCATGAAGTAGTCGGGATTTATAAGTTTTTTACATATCGTTTTCTGACTTCTGAGTACCTACTACCCTATACGCAGCCGTATGAAAGTAAAAAAAAAATAGATACCTAGTACTGTATACAGTAGACACTAGGTTAGTAGGTACTAGATAGTAAAGCCGGCACAGTTCACAGGGGGGACTCCAGAGACATGATTATAAGGGGTGACCAAGTCATAATTTCAAAAAATGTGGAGAAATACAGCTTGGGGGGGGGGGGGCTAGGGCTCCCCTTGAGCCGCCCCTGACAGTTCAACGGATAAAAGTCAGTAGGGTTTGGTATGTGTAGACAAATTCCCTACTATAACCCAAGAGTGGGAATAAGTTTGTGCAGTGAGAAAAAATCATTACAAAAAACCCTCCTATAGAGTTGCACTACTCTGTTGTACAATAAAATATGTTACCTCCAAGGCGAAGTTCCGGGATAAGCATAAGGCCATTATAGATAACAAAGAAATATGCCCCAGTGGCCAGAAGCACAGATTTCTATGTAGTAAGAACATAGGCGTGCGCAGACTTAAATTTCTGGTCGAGCCTAGACAATTATAGTGCCCTAATATTTGGACTGCGCCCCTAATTTTTTTTTTAACACACCAACATACATGTTGATAATATATTAACCTATTAATGTCTATAGTACTATACTACTATAGTTATTGTAATTGTACCTATAAAGGTATACTGTATTTTTTTAGATTAATAAAATGTATGTAATGGTTAGGTTAGGTAGGTACACACAAATATTTTTGATTTTTTTATACTTTCACGACAAACAACATTTTCATGATCTCCACGAACATATTATTATAATATGAGCATTATAATAAAATATTTAAATATATACGCACATTTTACTATGCCCCTAAAAAGTTTCAGGTCGAGCCTGGGTTTGACCGGCTCGCCCCGTGCGCACGCCTATGAGTAAGAAGTCTACGTCATATTCTATGTAGTATAGACTGAAGTCTGTGCCCTGTCATCACTAGTACCATTTTTATAAGTAGTAATCAACAAGTGACCAATCTGACTTTAACCACCGACGTACAAGTACGACGTCTGTGCTTATCACGGTATGTAATAATAATTGTTATCAAATAAATAGCAACAAAATAATATTGTTATTTTATTATTGTGTGCCTTTGCTGACTTGCTGTTTGTATCATAATATTCCACGTTCGGCTATTTGAAATTTGAACATAAAGACAGATTACAGACTACATACAGTCGTACACTCGTACAGAATTCCGGCCATACATTTTACTATTTCGGCACACAATCACGATGCAAAAGTGGATTTTTTGTTGTTAAACATCCAAAGTACACCTCAACTTTCATTTGTAAGTATTATTTCTATACTCTCCCTCACGAAAGAACTGTTCCACGTCTTGACGGAAACCTTGTCAATTTTGCACTTATCCACTCAAAACACCAGTAACGAGTAACGACTATGATCGTTGACGCCGGTCTCGGTATCGAGTAAACACGATTTCTGCATCGGCTACATTGACATGAACAGATCGTTCACCGCAGTAATAATAATATTTTGACGACCTGCAGGATGTCTGTGACCCACAGTGTACATGCGCGAAACGGTACCTTTCTTTTGTGAGACAGAGTTAAGTTGTATTGATTATATTTCTCAATAATGTAATGTCGTTCTAATTTTTTAATAAATAAAGATTTCAAAAAAATGAAAATTGCAGAAAGAATCACTTAAAAGCTTCGAGTTGGATGATTACCCAAATTCTAACTGTCATAGAATCTGCAGTAATCATTTCACTAGCAGTGATTATAAACAAGGCTCAGAAAATAAGCCAATATTATGGCCAGAGGCTGTCCTAAAACATAATCTCAACAACTTGTTGGATACGGAGAGGTAAAATAAACAATACCGATAATATATAAACATAATATTACACATAAACAAGAGAAATGTTAAAAATTTGAAGCAAAACTGGTATGACTCTGGGCAAGACTAATAAATTGTGTAAGAAATAAAATTATTTATTAAAATTGATAGTAAAATAATGATAATAATAATAATAATATATTGGTCAAGAAATTATAATTTTCAGTAAGTAAATATACCTAGCATAGTTAAATGGCCCATCTCACCACTGAAGATAACCTCCGATGATGAAATACTATTAAAAGATATTGATTTATACATTTTATAATATTTTTGATATTTCTCTAAAAACTGTGTCATTTTGACTATAATTCAAAAACATAAATAGACATACCTAGTAGTAATTTTTAATTAGTAATATAATAATAAAAACATGAATACCAATAAATGAATACAATATACAGAAGAACAACAAAAATGGAATAGATACATAAATAGACTACATTATATACACAGGTACATTACATGGGCTGTAGGTCACTAGTATTATTTAACAACCACAGTTTAATAGAGTATTTGTATATTATATAAGACATACCGTTAATAATTTGCATTGTAATATCGTTCAATAAACTCAAGCCCACTTGTGAAAAACATAGACTAGATTTAAATAAATAAACAGTAGGGATTTCTAAGTTGCTTTTAGATATGTGTTATAGTAGCTATAATGAATTAGATATTAATAAATTTTTTACAATTTTACATTTTCAGAAAATTATATTTCTCCAACGACGAGTTTGAAGAAAATGAACAGACAAATAAAGGATTTTAAGACCTTACAGTTGGTGATTTTAATTCACCCATAAAAGCCTAAAACTTTAATTTTGTTCAAAGGATATGTCAATTCACTCAGTGTTGTAGTCGTAAAAAAAGCAGAGGGTATACTATATAACTTATAACCAACTATTGGTATACATTTACAAAATACATATTGTGTACAAATATATATAAATATATAATATATAATTTTATATTATTTCTCTTCAACAGAGAGTATACAATGATAACCAGAAGGTATACGGCATATAAAGCCGTATACCCTCCAATACGGTACTGAATTCACTCTATTATTAAAGCTAATCCTACAAAATTAGATCTACTGTACGCACATTTGTTATGTTGCTAGTAGTTTAAAGACAGAAAACAAATGGCGCACTGAAATGTTATTTTTAACAATGTTTTAATTTGTAGGTAATACAATTTTTCTGAACATGTATTCAGTTTTAATACTTCAGAGAGCCTCAACATATTTAAATAGCAAAGAAATGCTTAACTATTTTGGACTTACAGTGTAATGACAATTGGATCTGAATTTTGGGACATTGCAGAATTTGATACAAAATACAAAATTAAATTCAATTGAATGTAGTATAGGTACAAATAAATAAGTTTTACACCTTAATTGGCATAAGTTATATTGAATCGTTTATTTTATATTATATAATATTACATTTATTTATAATTTATATCTTTCTTTCAGATCCATATGTTGTAGTTGAGTAGATGTGATTTACACTTTACAGAATATATCTATATTTAAAAGATACCTAAAATCTATTATTATAAGTTTAAACCAATACAATATCAGATCATGGAAGTTGTAGTAAAGTTGTAAGAAATTTTATAAAAAGTAAATTCTTATGACTGTTTATTCAATTTATATTAAAAAAAAGTCAATGAGTTGTATTAATCAACTTTGTCAGTTTCAGATGGATAAAACCTAATTGAATGTTTATAATTACTTGATAATTTTTTAAAGTGACGACGATTATGAAGAAAACATAAAATGTCTCAACCCTTTTGTCGTCACCTCCAGATAATAAACCAGATTTTTTAAAGGTAAATACATTTCATGCTATGTTTAACAATAAATTCATATAAGAAGCTAATGTTTTTGTTCACGTAGATTTAAACAAACTCAGTGGACATAGAAATCTAGCCGGATTGTTAAATATTTAAACTTCATGATGCATTATCTTTTGTAAAATTCTTTGAGCTTATGGCGTGTTTAGTGCGTAACATTGCACATATTACACCATTCAACTCAATAATATGTGGTCTCTTTCATAAAAAATTGTGTTAGAATGATAATTTTTAAGTCATTCTTTAAAAAAAATCTATGCTCAATTTAAATTATTTTAGAATATTGTAATAAACAAACAAGAGATCACACATAATATTCGTACGTTCAAGTTTGATAATAGGTCAATTCACTATAATATTTAAGCTAACAACACAAAATTGGAATTGCTGGATGTAAATTTTGATATATTATAGTATTATAATTATAATACATTTGTAAGTAGTACAACATCCCCTTCAAAAAATTGTTTGTGTCATTAATTATTAAAGTATAATGGGAATTATTTATTTTCCAGGTAATAACAAACCAGATTGTGAAGTAAACTAAGAACTGCATTGAAATAATTATAAAATATTATTAATATTATTGTTATTCACTTTTTAAGTTCAAAATTTTGTATTACATACTTTTTCTATTTGTTCCTAATTTTTTATTTAATATTTATTATCAAGTTAAAATCACTTAAGTAGAAATTTTTAATTTAGTTTCAATTCAAGATAAATTTAATTTTGTTTTATGGCGTGTTTAGTGCGTAACATTGCACATATTACACCATTCAACTCAATAATATGTGGTCTCTCATAAAAAATTGTGTTAGAATGAAAATTTTTAAGTCATTCTTTAAAAAAAATCAATGCTCAATTTAAATTATTTTAGAATATAAAAATGTACTCCAAAAAAAAAGCAACAAACCAAAAACAAATTTGAAATCAAACAAAAGTAAAATGTCTAATCCATATGAAGCAGACGATAGTGACCCTGAAGCCATTCCAAGTAGGTAAACTAAAGTTTCCAGGTATTTCCTTCATTCTCTTATTAATGTATATTATAATTAATCATAAATTATTTAAATGTTTTCAGCTTATTGACCTTCCCACACAGCATAGATATATTTAATAAAAGCTTATTAAACATTATATATTGGAATTAAAAAATAATTAATCAACTTTTAATAAATATTTATTAATGCTTAGTTACCGCCTACTATATTATATCGTATAATTACATAAATAATTAATATATATATATATATAATATATTTATTACAAATTGTGTATTGTTATTTATTAAATAATACATTTTAAAGATGTAATTAAGATTAATTTTTAACATTGAATAATAATTGTGTTTGATTGATATTTAGTTAATTAAACTGATACAATATTAATATGTAACAGTAATTCCATATTTAAATATTTTTAATTAAATTAAAATGCTTTAAAATATTTAAATTTAAATACTTTTCCTTCAATATTTATTACAATTTTAATACATTTTTAAATTTGAATATTTAAAATTTAATTAAAAACAAATATTTATTAAATCAGTTTCATTGAATAATGCTGTGTGGGTTATGTACACATTGCACCCGAGTACTGCAGATATATATCGTTGATGAACAGAAGAAAATCCAGGCAGAACTTATATCTTTGTGGAGTTATTGGTGGTTTCCTGTACTCCAAGGTAGTCTGTGTTGCGGTTTACGACTTGATGTGAGTAAATCAAACTCCCAATTTTGGTGTGTAAAATAATATTTTTAATTGTTCATAGATGAGGTTGAGTGCTGGGACATATTTACAACATGACATACTTCTAATGCATGACTTAGCAATGCTCAACGGTGATGAATGGGAAGCATGTTTCTGCAAAGTCTTGTTTCCATTGATAACAAACTGTTAAGAGTGTGGAACCGACATTGATCCAAGGGGTCTTCTGTCTGCCACTTTGTTATCAAAGGTTATTATTATTAATTAATAATTTGAATAATAATTAATATAATAATAAAATTAGCAAATATGAAGTAGTTATCAACAGACACCAGGTCACGTGCGCAGAGAAGAACCTGTAATGTGCTAACCTGCCTTTGTCTACTGTCGAAACCATATAAATACTGGAAAAAGCCTGGAAAAGCCTGAAAACCTCTTCGAAGTTCTTAGCAAAATCCAAGAAAACACTAAAAATATCTTCACATTTCTAAAATGTATTCATACAACTTAGTACAACTTGGTACAACTAAATCTAAGGTACGCTACTATTAATACTTTTCTTTAAAATATCTATGTTTTGTAATTTGTTTTAATCTATTAAGAAAAAATTGGTTCTCAAATATATTTAGGAAAATCGTTAATACCTACAATTATACCTATGAATTTATTTCAATATTAATCAAAACTATAAAAAAAATAGATTTTTTCCTATAGTACAATAGTAATAATTTCAATAATGCCTAAAATAACACGAAATATTCACTAAAAAATGAAATATATAATTAAAATCTTAAACTAAGCCCTTAAAAAAATGGGTAAATGTCAAAATATACACCTTAAAGTTTAATTGTTCAAATTGTTATTTTATGAAACAAATTCTGTACTTAGCATATTTTCATATGATCAACCAGAATAAATCTACAAATGCAACTAATCCGCTCTCTTATTATTATTGTCATAACACTTTTATGATCCTTAGTAATCCAGTTTGTGACGTTATTTAAGTTCTTAATAAGAGTGAGCAAAATATTTGACCAGCCCATATAACTGAACCAAAAATAAATAGATCGATTTGCTCGCAACCTAATTTTTAAATTTTGATCTCTCAAGAGTTATAACAGCTGGGAAGGAGTTTTTTACTTTATACAAAAAATATAAGTTAATATTTCAATTACCAAGAGTTGAACATATACTCTATTCAGAATAAGGTACTTTTACCTTATTGTTCTGCACCAAACATAATGCTTATGCCGTATATAATTATTTGTGAAAAACAGTGCGATATTATTGTTCACTATGTATACACCTGCGGCACGTTGGCGGCAAACATCAGCGCCAATTGGTGACAACAGGCATGCACAAACAAGATGAGTTTTCGTCAAGCGAATGGGAATTCTTATTCTGAATAGAGTATAGAAAAGAAATTATTTAGATATATTTTTTTTTTTAACTTTAATAATCACAAAAAATGGTTGTACATTAATTAATATAATTATAATATTTTCATAGGGTTTCTTACTCCAATTCTTCAGATTCAATCACTACCAACATTTTTTGACTTCTAGAACTGATGCACAATGTATGATAATAGGAACACTGGTATAAAATTAATTAATTACCAATACTTTTTAAATGTTGTGATTTTTTAAAAATTGTTTCTAACTTTTGCGTATTTTATTATCAGAGTGAAGTGATTACAGAAACCTTGAAAAATATGTTATGGCAGTGTGTTTTGTCCCGTTACATAGTAATGTTAAACGGAAAGACAGTAAAGAATAATTGCATAGTAAACAAACTTACTGGGATGCTACTCGGACTAAAGTCAATACATTTTTACCCCAAATGTCCAATGATTTGCTTCAACAGTAGCAGACAAATTAAAATGTAAAACCATGGTAATAAATAACAGTGAGAATAAGATTCTATAAATTAAAAATCCTTTCAATTAACAGATATGTCATCAGATTTATGAGAAGTAACTTGTCCGAATGTTCCACTTGGACTAGGCGTTATAATACCTCTTGGATCGCCAATTCATTTGGATGTAACACATGAAGTTTTGAATTCTCAATCGCCTGTTTTGTCCAGTCTAATACTTTATCGACTTGCCAATCAAAACTCAGTAACAATTGTACAGAACTTTATCAATCATCCTCAACATGTTGAATAAATAGGTATAGGTATATACATATATATATATTATATATATTTAAATATTTTCACATACAAATCATAATAATATTTGAATTTAAACATTTGTTTTTCAATGTCATGATGAAAGCGACGAACCGATCACAGTCATTACAACTATTCCAATTTTTCAACCTTATATTATACTCATTAATGGGAGTGAAGAATCTGAAGTCAGTAAGTAATAAGTATAAATCTATTTATGTATGTATGTCTTTATGTTACATTTATTTAATTATGTAACTCAACAGATATAAACAAAAAACTATAATTTTACTGAGTTAAAAATTCAGTTTTACATTTTGTTATTATTCCACATTTTATAACAAAGATAAATAACCTTTAGATGACGTCTTACCATATGTATAAATATGTAATATACCAAAATTGTATGTCCAGCAGTTCCAATTTTGAAAAAAAATAATGAAGTTGTATACTTAATTTTACCTAATAACAAACTTATGTTTGAGCATTATCTGTGATCTTGTTGGTTTTTCACAATATTTTGTGAACAAATATTATGAACAGAATTAAGAGCATTTTCAAATTTTAATATTGTACGTACTTATAACTTGCTTTAAAATTAAAATATTGTAATAAAAAAACAAGAGATCACACATAATATTTGTGCGTTCAAGTTTGATAATAGGTCAATTCACTATAATATTTAAGCTAACAACACAAAATTGGAATTGCTGAATGTACATTTTAATATATTATAGTATTATACATTTGTAAGTAGTACAATAGTAATACAACGTCCCCTTCAAAAATTGTTTGTGTCTTTAATTATTAAAGTATAATGGGAATAATTTATTTTCCAGGGAATAATAAACCAGATTGTGAAGTAAACTAAGAACTGCATTGAAATAATTATAAAATATTATTAATATTATTGTTATTCACTTTTTATGTTCAAAATGTTGTATTACATACATTTTCTATTTGTTCCTAATTTTTTATTTAATATTTATTATCATGTTAAAATCACTTTAGTAGAAATTTTGAATTTAGTTTCAATTCAAGATAAATTTAATTTTGTTTATCAATTTTTAATTTTTAATTTACGTTTTGAAAATTACGAAAATTTAGTAATATAAAATATAAGTAATGATAATAAAATTAAAAGTAAAAGTAATATGTTTCAATGGCATATTTATGATATGTGTGTAGAAACCACTCTATAGTGAATTTATTAAACTAATATATTATTCTAATAATAAAAAAGAAAATATCACAATATTCACAAATAAATAAATTATGTCTAAAATTTAAAATACATTAAAATAAATCTAAGCTTTTACTTATGATTAATAAATTATATTTATATATAATAAATAATTTATCTATAATAATTATTGTTATTATTATTTGTTTATTTGTATAACAATAGAAAATATGTATTAGATAAGTAACAACTTGGTACTTCAGAAAAATGTTAAACGTGGAAAAACAGAAGTCAAACCATCCTAATAACAAAAACCTTCAATCAAATAACTCCAATCTGGCCACACCTCATGTTACAGAAACTGCCATGAATACAATTATAGAATTTAATCATAGTTTGAATCATAGTCATTTTTTATCTACATCATTACTTGATAACAAATTATATAGGTAACAATTATATTAACAATGATATAGGTGATATTAATTGTTATATATGTTACCTGTAATGTTAATATTTGGATAATGTCGACATTATCTGGCTAATATTACATTAGCCAAGAACTTTTGGATAATGTCTTAACAACCATAAAAATGTATCATATATGAGATGCAATAATTTAAATTATTAACAATATTAATTATATTTAAGACAAAAACCATAAAATACATAATATTATTAATATGAGTTCAATTTTAATTTTTTACAACCTAACCTACTAATGATACATATGATACTAATGACAATGTCTTAACAACCATAAAAATGTATTATACATGAGATGCAATAATTTAAATTATTAACAATATTAATTATATTTAAGACAACAACCATAAAATACATAATATTAATAATATGAGTTTAATTTTAATTTTTAACAATATAACTTGCTAATAATACATGATGTGTTATCCTTTATTATTACACGGTATGCTTTCGTGACATTTTGAATTGCAGAAAATGCTAGATGCTTCACATTTACATCAAATGGTGTCATATTTCCCCCTATATTTACCTTTTATATCCTTGACCACCACCATCTGACATTTGTTTCGCAATTTCCCTCAATGATTTTTCTACATGTACCATCTCATCAAGCGGTTTTAAATACAACAGACAAACACCAAACTGATTTTTGGTGTATAATTGTGGCAAAGTACCATATTTATTGCTAAGTTTAAAATATTGCCCATCCTCAATAGACACTACTGCAAATATAATATTTCTCGGGTCTGCTCGTCCTCTGTCAACATCCGGTAAAGAGACTCTTACTGTCTCCAATGTTGATTGGGGGGAATTTATGGATAGACCTAAATTTAATTTTTTCAGCTTGGTTCAGTAGACAAATTTCAGATTTTTTTCTACTATTTTCGATTGATTTCAGTAAAAAATTAATTGTTAGTTATTGGGAACAATATACCATGTAATTTAAAATAACAATATCTTACCTGTCTTGAGAATATTAAATCACATAATCCTTTCATCCTTAGATGCTTTCGAACAACAATTTTCATTGACCACTTGAACATTATTTTTCGTTTTTGTCTTCTTCATTGATATTATCAACGCTATCGCTAGGAAAACGTGTAGTCAAACCAACCCTCATATCTGTTCCAAATATTGCATCGTACGGACGTACGGTGACCTAAAGTTATATCGAAAATATGATAATTAGGGCTCAAAAGTTTGAAGTCTGCGGGACCATGTGGGGGGGGGGGGCTGCGTGAACTTATACCCCCATAAGTATTTTTGGATTTACAGGCCTCACGATGAATTGCAAATTTTTTGGCGAGACATGCAATTAATTGCATAAAAATTTCAAAATGTTGATATCA